GTGAGTCTAGGCAAACAGCAAGCTGAACATGAGCTAGCAGTATGTGATGAAGGCTAACAGTATTCAGGCTGTATGAAAAGGAGTGTAATCAGAAGACTGGGGACAGTTATTCCCTTTTACTGAGTATTCATTAGACTGCATGAAGAATACTAGATTCCTCCCGCCCCCAAACACAGATGCCCTCTACCTCAATGCACAAAAGACACATAAACTAGAGCGAATTCAGCAAAGGGCTGCTGAGATGGTTCAGGGAACACATGGTACGTGGCAGGCAGACCAGAGATGATGGACATACGTTGCAATGAGAGGGGGAGAAAATTTGTTGTTTGGATGGCATTCAATAGCTTAACTTTTAAATTGCTTAATTGTTATAAGCAACAAAATCCCCAAGCCATAAAAAACAAACAAAGCATAAGTACCAAGTGTTAAAAGCTGGAATGTTTTGGGTTTCATAATTACCATAAGATAAAAGTATCTTTTGAAGGTGAAGAATGGGTTGGCTTGGATTTTGAGGCTTTTGTTTGTTTTCCCAGCACATAAACTATATCTTCAGTATTTGTAACACTGTCCTTTCTCTAATAAACATGCAGATTTGTTTATTAGAGAATCCACAGAGTTTTTGACTTGCTTTCTAGGGGGTGATTTTTAGAAGTATTTTGAAGTTTAATTTGTTCCCACTGAGGAAAGTAATTCCAAACAGAAGAAAGCAGACAAGTGCAAAAATGCAAAAGTGTGGAAAAGAAAAACAACCGGTGGTCATCACAATATTAGGAAAAGCATTATGGAAATAAATAAAAAGAGTAGTTCTGAAATACATGTATACATGTGTGAGAACCATTGAGAATGGAAGGGAGCTCTTGAGATTGTTTAAGCAGGGTCAGCTAGAGTAGGTTGATTGAGGCTGTGTCCACTTGGGTTTTGAGTATCTTTATAGGTGGAGATCTCTCTGGACAATCACTGTAAAAGAGTATTTTGTGTGGTCAGAGGGAATTTAATGTGTTTTCTGTTTATGCCTGTTACTTCTTGTCCTGGCAGTAGGCACTAGTGAGAGGAGTCTGACTCCTTGTTTTATACACATAGATAAGAGCTGTCCACACACAAGCCTTCTCTTTTCCAGGCTAAACACTCCCATATCAAACATCTTCCAGTCCCTTAATCATTTTTGTGGCCCTTTTCTAGAACCACTCCTGTAGGCCCATGTCTGTCTTACCGTGGGGAGCCCAGGCTTGGCCTCACCAGTGCTGAGTAGTGAGGAACATTTGCCTTCCCTCTGCCTGCTGGCAGTGCTCTCGTCACTGCAGTCCAGGAGGCTGTTGACCTTTTTTGCTTACAAGGGCACATTGCTGGTTTATCGTCAGCTTGTTTGAGTTCTTCAAGGCCTTTATCTACCAAGCTGCTCTCCAGTCAGTTGGCACTTGGCATGTCCTGGTGGATGGGATACTCCCTCTGTGCAGGACTTCATGTTTCTCTTTGAACATAATTAAAGTCCTCTGTCTAACTCTCCAGGTCACTCTGAACGCATCTGCTATATTGGCAACTACTCCTGGTTTTGTATCTGTGAACTTGCTGAGAGTCCACTCTGTTCCCATCATTCAGGTCATTAATGAGGATGATTAAAAAGTACTAGCCCCAAGATCAACCCCTGGGGTGCTGCTAGCTTGCCTCCAACTGGACTTTGAGCCAGTGGTCACAATCCTGTGGATTCAGTTTTCAATCCTCCTTACTGTGCACTTAACCCATACTTTGTCAGCTTGTATGTGAGGATGTTATGGGAGAGTGTATCAAAAGCCTTACAGTGGACATAATAGCATATCCTGCTCACCTGTCATCTTCCAAGCAAGTCACCTCATTGTAGAAGACTGTCATGGTGATTAAGCATGATTTCCACTTGATTTCCACTTTCTAAGTCCATGCTCACAGTTCTTGATACCTTCTTGTTCTCATATCTGGAAATTATTTCCAGGATTATATGCTCCATCACCTTCCCATGGATTGAGGTGAGGCTGACCAGTCTGTCAGCAAATCTTTCTTGAAGGTAGGAGTGACACCTTCCTGAGAACTGGAAGAGAGCAAATGTCCCAATTGTCATGATATTTCAAAGATGACTAAGAGTAGCCTTATCCAGATGTCAGGCAGATCTATAGTGCTCATGGGCGCAACCTGTTAGGCCCCATAGACTTATATATGTTCAGTTTAAGTGCTCTATAACCTAATCCTCCTCCACTGAGACTAAATCTTCCTTGCTGTAGACATTCCCTCTAGTCTCAACGGCCTGGGATTCCTGAACACTGGTCTTACCAGTAAACACTGAGGCAAAGAATGCACTGAGCACCTTGGCTTTTTCTCTGTTTTTTGTCATTGGGGTCCTGCCACGTTTAGTAGTGAGCTCACATTTTCTTCAGTTTTCCTCTCCTGCTTTTATAGTTGCAGAGTCCTTCCTTGTTGCCTTTCACATCTCTCGCCAGATTCAAATCAAGGTAGACCTTGGCTTTCCCAACCCTATGCCTACACAATTGGATAGGAACTCCATACTCCCCCCTGGGTCAGCTGCTCCTGCTTCCACTTTTTACACCCTTCTTTTTTATGTCTGAGTTTAGTCTGGGAGCTCCTTATCCATGCAGGCCTTGTGCTGTCTTTGATTTTCCTGCACATGGTGATGGACTTTTCTTGAGCTTGGAGGAGGTGATCCTTGAATATCGACTAGCTCTACTGTACCCTTCTTCTCTCCAGGGCTGTATCCTGTTGTATTTTTCCAAGTGCATCTCTGAAGAGATTACAGTCTCCTGTCCTGAAATCCAGAGTTGTCTTGCCTTTTACCTTGCTCTCTCCTTTAAGGATCCTGGACTCCATCATCTCATCATCATTGCAGCCGAACTGCCCCGACTGTAATGTCCCATGACCAGTTCTTCCTAGTTTGTGAGTATTGGGTCTAGCAGTGCACCGCTTCTTGATCATCTGTGTCAGGAAGTTGTTACTACTGCACTTTGGAAATTTCCTAGGTTGTTTGTGTTCTGCTCTGTTATCTTTCCAGCAGATATCAGGGTGCTTCAAATTCCCTGTGAGAACCAGGGCCTGTAAACATGAAACTTCTTCCAGTAGATGGAGGAGGCTTTGTATACTTATCCCTGATTAGGAGGTCTCTAGCAGGCACCCACTACAGCATCACACATTGTTCTCTCTGCTAATCTTGACCTGTAAGCTCTCGACTGGCTGCTGACCTGCCGTATTTCTTTCTAACCTGCCCTTGAAGAGCCCATACCCATTTGTCACAGTACTCCAGTCATGCAAGCTATCCCACCATGCCTCCATGATCTCAGTGAGGTCATGGACCTGCAGTAATTACACAGATTTCTGTAATTACTCTTCTTTGTTCTCCATGCTGTATGCATTGGTGTACAGTTATTTCAGAGAGGCATCAAAGTGTGCCAATTCCCCAGAAATGGCATGAGAGCTTTCCCCATAAGGCTTTTCTGCTGGCACTTCTTTCTTTACATGCCTACAAGTGATTGCACTTCTACCTTTTTTTTGGGGTTTTTTTTTTGTTGATTGCTGTGTTTATTCTCTTCTTCACCCTAGGCCCTTTGCTTGCCTACCCCATCCACAGTTTCCTCAGTTGTTTATTGAGGAATCTCTCCAACAGTTTTACCAAAAAATCTATGAACATTTGTATATATCTACATAAAAAAATGAATAATAATGGAATCATTACAGATTCTAAATATACACATAAGACCTAGAAAGGCTGCATTACCATTATATAATAGCCATTGGGCACTTAAATGGAGCATTTAATATTGTGCGCTAATGGAATTGAACACCATGGCCCAGGTAGTTGATGTAATGTGTCTGAAGAGAATTGGGAAATATTAAGAATGAAGACATTTCAAAATGAGCAGCTGCCCTCTCAATGCCAAATTAGGACTTTTTCTCTCTATAGGCCACTGTGTATTCTCTGACTTTAAGGAATTCTTGGTGAGATGAGATTCATAATGTTCTGAACAGGAGCATCCCTGGATGCCAAACTTTTTCATTAAAGTAATGCTGTCATGTATATTCAAGCTTTGATAATCCATTCATTACTAACTTTTAGGCTAGAAATGTGGTTTTGGCTTTGTTTCTGAGCAATTCTTGTTTGCCTTTGGTTTGATGTGAAGCTTTCTATGGAAAATGTCTTCATGTCTTTGTTTTTACTATTTTATGGTGGATACCTTCAGATTTTTTCCTTTTTTTTTTTTTTTGTTTGTTTGTATGGGTTGGAGTTTTTTTAACTGGTTTTAAAGCATCCTAAATTTATTTATTCACTTAATATTATTTTTATTATGGTAGAGTATTTACCATGTTTCTGTGTTTTCAAGACTATTCCTTTGCTATTCTTTGTTTTCTGAAGGCCCTTCCATCCTGACAGTATTCCTGTGATTTTTTTTGTTGCAAAGGGAGATGCTTCTTCTCATGTCTCTGTTTTTGAATTGAGATTCTCAATTAATCCAGCTGGGTACACAGATTGGTTTCCTGTAACTGTATCTAAGCTCATGATGAGTATGTGTGCTGCATCTGCTCTCAGAATTGTAATACAATGTAAAATCTGGATAGAAGCTTTTAACCTCTTTTAGTAAGAGTCACCTGTGTGTAGCTCTGCCTCCTCCTGGTGTGAAAGAGCTTATTGACTAGTCCAGACCCCTGGAATGATGTCTTGAGCAGACTCTGCATTGTTCTGAGTCTTGAAATTCAGTCCACATGGAGAAGTGGACTGATCTTAGACCATGTCCTGTGAAGCCAGTACAGCTCCTGTAGCTTTTTTTTTCATGTATGAAGCTGTTGGGGTTCCATCTTTGTGGGTCTTCAACCAGCTCTTTTTTGACCTGGTTCTTTATGCATGTTAAGTCAAGTAGGTGTTAACATCTGCATGTTTCAACCTGGATTTGGAAACTGTGGATGCCCGTTTAGCGTTGTGGTAGTGCCAGCCACAAACTTAATCCAGTTCTAGGAGAGGAGTTGTGGTAATGGCAGCCGTGTCCCTCCCTGGTCGACGCAGTGGCTTTCCTGCAGGACCATGGACAGGTCACCATGCAGACGCGCTGCCGGCCCCTGGTGGATCTCGAGTGTTGGCGCTGCGTGGTGGGTGCGATCCGTCTCCATTTGCTGCATCTTGCTCTCCTCAGTGGATTTCATGGCATAGGGCAGAGTCTAGCTCCTGAGCTGCTATGGTAAATAGGTTATTAAGATCTGTCAATGTGACCTGTGGTTCCCTCAGGCCAGTGCTTTCCCCTTTCCCCAGCTACTAAGTTTATGCTTCCTTTTTTAATGTTCATCTCCTTTACAGATCCTAGGCTTAGGAAAAAAAAGGATAGGCCCTGCATCCAAATCTTTGCTTCCGGAGTCTGGCACTGTGAACTGTAATATATTGTTTTGTAAATGCATCAAGCATTATGCCCACTACTAAGATTAAAAAAGTAATATCCTGGCTGGCCTGTCTGTGTATTCACAATGTGAATTTGAAGGTTTGGGAGTTGGGTGTGTGTGTTTTGTTTTTAAAGACCTCAACAATTCGTGTTAGATTATGATGTTTTTAATAATAAAGCCTTTGACGTATCCTGGGAAATAGGTTCGGCTTAATTTATGGGTGGTTTTTTTGGTTTTTTTTTTTGTTTTTTTTGTTTTTTTTAAATCTTAGTGTTATATATAGAATCATAGAATGGTTTGGATTGGAATGGACCTCAAAGATCATCTAGTTCCAACTCCCCTGCCATGGGCAGGAACACCCTCCACTGGACCAGGTAGCCCTAAGCCTCATTCGACCTGGCCTTGATCACTTCCAGGTGTGGGCCTGCCACAGCCTCTCTGGGCAACCTATTCCACCTATTCCCCCTATTGCCTCACCACCCTCACAATAAAGAATTTCTTCCTAACATCTCCTCTAACTCTACCCTCCTTCAGCTTAAGACCATTACCCCTTGTCCTGTCACTCCATGCCCTTGTAAACAGTCCCTCTACAGCTTTCCTGTAGCCACCTGTTTCAGGTACTGGAAGGCTGCTATAAGGTCTCCCCAGAGCCTTCTCTTCTCCAGGCTGAACAACCCCAACTCTCTCAGCCTGTCCTCACAGGAGAGGTGCTCCAGCCCCCTGATCATCTTCATGGCCTCCTCTGGACTCACTCCAACAGCTCCATGTCTTACGTTGGGGTAGTAAAATCTTTGCATAGTTGTAAAGTTGGATTGTGTCTTGGTTGTTAATAGTGGCTTGTGTAATACAAGTAAAGAACATTGAATTGAAAGCACAGCTAATACTGTGCATTTGTATTTTCCTGATAAACCAAATAGGTGTGGAATATTCTGAAAAAATCTTGAAAATATTGTCTGTCCTTCTGCTTACATACAATACAAAATAAAAGAACCTCTTTGTAATTCAGTGCAATTCAGCAGAATTTGGTCAAATTATCAACGTAATGTGCTATTTTCATGTGAGAAGATTTTGTAAGTTACCTTTAAAACAAGACTGTTTAAAATCAAATCTCCAGTCGTGTTTTGTGGGGGTTATAAGTGTGTTATGGGCGTGTTTTAGCCTTTGTTTCATTCAGTGTAGACAATGTGTATTTGCAGTTTGTTGAAACTACAGTTTAGCTGAAGTTATAGTTAATGTAAAGCAACTGGTAGTGATTTTCATGTTTTAATATTTTATATCAGATTGAGGTATTTTCCATTTAACATCTTTTGAAATGTGCATGCTGTTACATGTATTTGCTTTAATTTCAAAACATTCTTTTGGCTGATAGTCACTTAGATTGTTGGCGTATTTCTAACAAAGTTATCCAACCATTGTTTGTTGGTGTGGGAGAAAAATAAAGAGTTGCTGGCTGCAAGCACTGCAAAAACAGAATAGACACTGATGGATCATAAATGGGATGTAAACAAAGTAGTGCGTGTGAAAAGACGGATACTGAAAGTGGTAGTAAATTTGGTCCTGTTTTGATTTTTGTATTGTTTGTTAACTGAATTTATACATTTGGAGAGCATAGCCATCATTATATTCTGTTAGGTTTTATTCTGATTGTGGCTGTTTCTCTGCTGACCTGGACAACACCCTTTGATAGTAACAATAGAAGCTGACAAATCAGTTTGTTGTCTGTGGTAAACATGACTTAGTGTGAGTAAGGTTTTGCTCTTAGGAGGCCTAAAGACAGATTATCATTAGACACTTTTCCTTATAATTATTTGTGTGAATATAACCTTCGTGTGTATTTTTTTAATACTATTTTTTTCCTGTTTTTATTCGGCATTGCATTTTGACTCTTAGTGCATTTTGAAATATTTTTCTTCTAATTTCAATATGGTAAAGTGATAAACCCAGAAGATTCCAGATAGAGATCTGGCAGTTGTAACTGAATCTCTCAGACTATAAGAACTGATAAGAGTTTTCACAGCATGGTAATTATCATCCAGCAGGTTTTATTTTCTGGAAAGGTGACCTTTGAAATATCCATGATAATGCTCAGTTGTCATACTTCTAGTCAGCTGTGATTATGTATGTGTAGAGTGTTTGGCATCCTGAAGGTTTAAAAAAAAAAAAGAAATGTGAGGGGGAAAAATACAGGTATGAGAAGGTTCAGTTGAAGTTTTCTATCTGGCTATGGCTAAACTATCTAAAAGCAAAGCTTGTATTAGGAATTCTATTGTATTGAAGAGTCTGGCTCTGTTTTGGGATTTAATTTCTTTAAAGGACTTAGTGTACCTATGAAATACAAATGCAGTCCCATTTAGTAGGCGTAATGTGTAACTCAAGTGTTTTTTTTAATCTAATTTTTGGTATGGTAAGGTGAAGAAATGAAAGTAGGTGTTATTTCATGTGTATATTTGAGAGAATAGTATAACCACAAATTTATTAGATAACCCTAGTTTTCAAGATAAATTGCGTGTAGCCTGATCATTAGTAGAGTTATTGTATGTGTAATATGGCAGAAGAATTAGGCTTTTCAGAGCAACTAGCTGAGCAGAGATTTTTAGCTTTGGTAAGGCTTAACCATTTATTATTAGCCATCATTTGTTGCAATGGTGGTTGATCTTCTTCTGTAGTTCCAGATATGCAGCTGTGGCATTCATTGGAACAGCTTTGTAAAGTTATTTGATAGTATTTGCTTGCTCCTTATGTAGCTCATAGCAGAAAATAAACTGTTTTCTCTGGTTCAAATACTGCCTATCTTTTAGGAGAAAGTTAGTCTGAAAGTTACTTTCTGAGTGCCCTTATCCCAAAGAAAAAATACAGGAGAGCCCCAAAAGAGAAGGAATGTCTACTATGAGCTAATGTGTGATATAGAAATGATGAATTCCGTGTATTTTATCAGTTCCATCTAGATATGGGAACAGTATTGCGTATGTCAGTAGGATAGCAGTACTATGAGAAGAAAAATATGCTTTTACCGATTGTTACCTCCATGCAACTGATTTTTTGATTTTATTTTGAGAGTTCTGTGTTTTCTAGTATTAATCAGAGTTCTTTCATTTCACTAATTATATAAAAACTATGTTGCACTTCAACACTTTGAGGTTGACATAATATATACATGATTTCACAGAATTACAGGATGATAGGGGTTGGAAGGGACCTGTGGAGATCAACTGGTCCGACCACTCTGCTAGAGCAGGATCACCTAGAGGACGTTGCACAGTATGACGTCCAGGTGGGTTTTGAATATCTCCAGAGAAGGAGACTCCACAGCCTCTCTGGGCAGCCTGTTCTAGTGCTCGGTCACCCTCACAGCGAAAAAGTTTTTCCACATATTCAGATGGAACTTCCTGTGTTCCAGCTTGTGCCCGCTGCCCCTTGTCCTGTCACTGGGCACCACTGACAAGAGTCTGGCCCTTCCTCTTGGCACCTGCTCTTTTAGGTATTTATAAGTATTGATCAGATCCCCTCTCAGTCTTCTCTTCTCCAGGCTAAACAGACCCAGGTATTTCAGCCTCTCCTCGTACGAGAGATGCTGCAGTCCCCTAACCATCCTTGTAGCCCTCCAGTGGACTCTCTCCAGGAGTTCCCTGTCTTTCTTGAACTGGGGAGCCCAGAACTAGGCACAGAACTCCAGACGTGGCCTCCCCAGGGCAGAGTAGTGGGGGAGGATAACCTCCCTTGACCTGCTGGCCACGCTTTTTTTAATGCAGCCCAGGATACCATGGGCCTTCTTGGCCATGAAGGTGCATTGCTGGCTCATGGAGAGCTTGTTGTCCACCAGGACTCCCAGGTCTTTCTCTGTGGAGCTGCTTCCCAGCAGGCCAACCCCTAACCTGTACTGGTGCTTGGGCTTATTCCTCCCTAGGTGCAGGACCCTACATTTGCCCTTGTTGAATTTAATTTGGTTCCTCTCCACCCAATTCTGTAGACTGTGCAGATCTCACTTAATTTTTTGTAATAAAGCTGATGGTAAAAATCTATGCTTCTGCATACTTCACAAAACCTTTTTGCTTTGGTGCCTTTTGGAACACTAATATCATTGAATCAGCTTAGAAATATTTTCATGGTATCTTTCAAGAAAACGTGATAATCATAGTAGTTAAAAGTCATTTTAATAGTTTAAATTGACACCAGTGGAATATACTCCTAATAAATATTCTGCTGACCTCAGGCTTGGCTTGTTTTCCAGGTAATGGATAGCAGTAAAACAAATGTCTGTAGAGATTTGTGAGTATAGCTTTATGGTGTTTTGCAACCTTCCTTTTTGCCTAAAGACTGTATGCAGAGAATTACACGTGATGATGTGATGAAAAGTTTTGTTGTGGTGTTTTTTTTTTTTTTAAACAACTACTTTCTAAACTTCTGGAGCAAATGCAGTAAAAAAGAGGGTAAATTAAAGTAAACCAGCTCTAAATAAGAAGACAGTGTAGAGAGAGGGGAGGAAATGTTGCAAGTTTTTTCTTGATGCAGTTTTCCTCATAAAAGGGATAGTGTATTTGAACTGCATACACGTTGAATATTTGCAAGATGCAAAAATTGGGGAAAAATACACTCTGCAAGTATGCTGTAATTTGTCTGAAATGTACTGGAATTTGGGACTATCTCTGTATCCCATGGCATGAGTAAAGTCATGTTGATAGCTGAGACACTGAGACTGTCACTATTGTTTCTTGACAAGATATTAACTTAATAAATTAATAACTTAATAAAATAATAACTTAATAAATTATGCTTCAATTTTTCTGTAAATGCACATGTTGTATGCTTACTATTATCCAACATATTAATCTTCTATGACTGTTTTGACTTTTCCATATAGATATGCTTTAAGGTGTACTTGTTTATTTTTTATCTTTTACGTTGTAAGCATACAGATATACAAACCAATACGTGTATTTTTTAATGTGAATATAAATTTCACATTACTTAGGTGAAAGAAGCCATGATTCTGTATTTTGGTTTTAAAATACATTCACCACTTTGAGTTATGTTAGAAATAAGTCCTAGAGGAATCAAGCTGGATAGGCAGGCAAACAGTGGTATAAGTAAGGAAGGTCTTAACATAACTAGATTTATAGCATTAAAGAGTGTCAGGAGATGTGTTTTCTTTTGGTTTTAACTTTATGTAATCTAGGACCAACAAAAAATATAGGGCAAGTTACAGAAGATAAGCAGAGAAACCTTGATGCTTTGAGAACTCAGTCTGTATTTGTTCATTTGGTTTTCCTGCCAGGGTATGTTTACAATTTGTCCTTTCTGTATTTGAATGTATAGTGCTTTTATGACTGTGAATGAATGGGCGTGTGTTGTAGATAATTCAAAGTGTCTTTGCATGCTACTGCAAAAGGGAGAAGCTTCCACTCTCACTTTCCCTGCAGGGGTGTACTGGCACCCACAGCCCTTTTAGAGGCGTAGTCATTCTTGGGAGTCATCTTCTGTTTCAGGGACAATTTTCTAGTTAAATAGTTCACTTTAAACCAAATCTGGGAATTGTGCCTTAAGTAGAGCTGCAGATTTGGTAACAGCTGGAGGAATTTAAGTGCTGTAGGTATTCACAGACGGGAAGTATCTCTGTGTCCTTATGTTGTCAGAGGCGTACTTTGTCGTAACAGAAGCTGGCGTCTAGCATTCCAGTGTGGGTGGTTGGTCAATGCAGTCTCATCCAGCCTGAGGTGCAGAAAATCAGACTTCCTGTGTTCACCGCACTGTGTGGAAACCTAAATAAATCTGAGGGGTCACCCCTAATGGCCAGAACTGTTTTTAAGTAATGCCCTTTAGGGTGCAAATGAAGATTAGCTTAAATACATGATTTACTGGTCAGGAAAACAATCTGTTCTCTATCTGATGGATGTGTTTGCATTGATGTAGCATTTGTATGTTCTATAGAAATATCCCAAATCTTTGAAATTTGCTAGTATTTGCTGCTTATGTATGTAACCAACAATGAGGAATGTTTTCTTTCCAAAAAGTACAAGGAAGAAAAAGGGTCAAAATAAATTCAGATGCCAAAGTAAACAGCTGTTGATACACTTAGAAGACAATTACAGTGAATCAAGACATTATCAGAGTCCTCTCAACACCAGTTCCATGGTCCTAAACACTGCAGTGCTCAGGGCCACCAAGAAATGTTGTGTTGCCTGTGATTTTTTTTTTTTTTTCCCTGGCTTAGTTTTTTTCTGCCTTAGCATGTGGCAGAGTTCAAGAACTGGAGTCATCACAATGGAAGTGGTAGGAGAAGACAAAGAGGTTGAGTGGGGAGCAACAGATCCCAGATTGAAACCTGGTATTTCTGTTATTGTGGTTATCCTTATTTAATGTGGACCTAATTTTTTGTTTCCTTACCTGTCTACAGTTTGATTTAGTTTTGCAGCCTTGACCTTTTTATAGGGATATGCCACCTGACTGACTCTTAAAAAGGATTTTCAAGTCACTTGTGTGATTGTTTCTTACAGATACCCTACAAATATGGCTTAGGAGACTTGTTCACCTGATTCAGACTTATTCTCAGGCCTTTCTACACTCTACATATTTGAAAGAAACATACCATTTTCAGTTACTGGTGGCCTTCACCTGGAAAATAGTCTCCAATGTGTCAATATTTAATCATTATCTTTACAGTTGTTCATTCTCATTATTGTCCTGTGTCTCAAGAGACACTTGTAATGGTGCAGTGCACTTCCACTTTACTTAGCAGAATCTTGCACAACTTCCTTCAAATACTGAGCAGTAACCAATACAATAGTTTTTTTCATTCATAATAAAGCCTTCAAAAAACTGTATAATCTTCACGCTTTCCTAACTTGGAATTTGACTGTGTGCTGTTACTACTCTGTCCAGCACATCTGATGTCTATATAGGAAAGAAGAAAATCTATTTTATTTCTTGTGTTGCAGGATACTCACTGGACATTTTAACTACAGACATCACAGTCTTGGTAAAATGTTAAACTTTATAATCTTAATAATTCCAGCAATGGTATGTCTGGTCTGTATTCATTTGGTTGCTTGTGCGGTTTCAGATTTTGAAGTGTTTTTCTAGAACCAAAACAGGGACTGCAGCAGTGCAACAGAATTAGATTAACTTTTGAAGAGGAAAGAAATTCAACAAACCCAAATCTCCTTCAGATTTTTTTTTTAATGGCGGGGTCTGAGCCTGCAAGAAACAACACTCTCCAGCTAGTAAATTCATTTCTCTAGTGTCAAACTGCTAAACTCTGAAATCGGTAACGACACATGTGATATAATGAAATCAGTGATACTATGTTCAGTAATTACTACTTCCAATATGGATTATGCTGAAAATTCCTGCTTAGTTCTAGCTTAGGTAGTAACTTTAAAATGGTCAGAGAGCAGGCAGTTGAAGAAGGCACAATACACAATATCTTCCTGAGGAAGGAAGAAAAAGGAATGTTTTAAAAATGTTGGGGTTTTTTATGGCCTTTTCTTCCTGGATACATTTACATTTTAATTAGAACTTTAGTAAATACAAAGAGATTATAATAAGAGGTCAAACCTTTTCTCTACATTTAATATTTCCTAATCCTTCTCTAGAAGTCTTTCAGCATTTGTGTTGTGGGTTGTTTGTTACTCATCACTGAGATATGGTGAAGAGATTTTGCACTGAAACCTGACATTAGTAGGACTACTCACAGTATATAATTCAGTATTGTACATGTCTTTGCAGTAATGGGTTTTAGGTTTCCAAAACATTCAGAATCACAGGAGTGCTTTTGAAGCTTTCTATTGCTTTTCTTACTCTGTGGTTTCCAAGTAATGTCTATTACTGTGTCTTATAAGTAATTTTTCTGGTTCATTTCTGACACTATACTTTTATAATAATAATATTTGATATGCTGTATTTGAGAGGATATGATTTCATCTGGACTGACTGCTGTGTTCAGCCAAAAAAAACATTTTGAGGTTTTAGAAGTAGAATTACAAAGCGATGGATGGCTGTCAATAAGGGCATACTCAGCTGCTGGATTGTCTGAGGGTAATGGAGTAGTCTTCTCTTTCTGTGAGTTTTAAGTATGTGTTTTGGTTTTCTTAGAAGTTACAGTACTAGACTGAATTTTGTGTGTGAATTGAAATAAAATATCCTATCAGTGATGAAAAAAAGATGCCAGTTAGCTTTATCTCATTGCTTAGGATTCATAAAATACAGAATCTAGGTCTGAGGATCTACATTGAATATATTTTTTATTCTTTTTGTTTTTCAGAGGCCCAGAAGACACAATAAATGATTGTAAAATCCTTTTTATAGAGGAAATGTACAAGATTGAAAAACCAGGAGCCTATCCATTGACATTTGGGGATGGAGATTTCAAAAGTAGGCTTCTTTAAATTATTTGAATAGAAGAACAAATTGAATAATGTTCTTTAAAAAAAAATATAGAAAGGTCAGCATACAGAGGTAATAATAATAATAATAATTGTTTCGTGTGTTCAGGAAGGTAATAACATAGAATCCTTTCTAGATCTCTATTCTAAAAGTGTATTTACTGTAAGATGGCTATATTAGTTGACATATTCAGAAACTGATGAGATCTTAGGGGAACAGCTGATAAAGTTCCAAATGAACTGTGCAGAATTAATTCATAGTCTCAGTTAAGTTCCTAGACAGGTGTCCAGGTCACCAAATTGCTTTTGCAATTGATATGTCATTTAAACTAATAAATGCCAAAGATAGAATCAGTCTGTAATTGTGCACTATTTCAACTCTATCAGAATTAAAAGAAAATATAAGAAACTTTGTGCTAGAGCTGCTTGTACCATGAAAAAAAGGCATAATTAACATTTGGATTATTATTTGGCCCTGCATGATCTTCTAAAAAACTGTGCCATACCTCATCATCCTCCTCACAATCACAGAAAGGGGTTAGTGACAGCTTATCTAAAAAGTAGTGTGACATTTTATTCAAAGTTTAAAAATATATTGAAGTTTGGAGTAATCAGTGCTTGTGATAGCAACTGATAGATTGGACTGCAGCTCTACTAATAGATATTAGATATTATTATATATTAGACTCCTCACTCTAAGGCATTTTTTCAGAACCTTTGTATGTAGCTCTCAGTGCACAAGAACTAGTCTGCTTACTGTTTATTGCCATCATCCAAAAAAATCACTGTTTCTCAGAGGAACAAATACCATTTGCTCAGGTATTCTTAAAAGTAAAAATGTGGATTTCTCTAAATGAACTTCTAACAACTAATTTTTCATTATTTGTGATTTACTCAAAAAACCTATCCATTCTGGTTTTTTTTTTTCTTGGTCACATTAAAGAGTTTTTGCAGTATCTTAAAACAGGTTTTTATTTTAAAAAAATGTAGCATGACAAATTTAAAAATCTACAGATCACAGAATGGTAGAGGTTGGAAGAGACCTCTGGAGATCATCTAGTCCAACCCCCTTGCTGAAGCAAGTTCACCTAGAGCAGATTGCACAGGTTTGCATCCAGGCGGGTTTTGAGTATCTCCAGAGAAGGAGATACTGCTTTGCATTTACATACCTACTTACATTGCAAATCTAATTGCTTATGAAACTTTTTAAAGGCCATATAAAATTATTACAGTTCATTTAGTTCTTCCCTGCAGCTACTGTGTAGTGAATTAATTTTTAAAATTATGTGTGTTAAGGAAATAATTACTATATTGCTGACTATACAAATTTGTCTACAGTGGCACCATTTGATCTGACATGAGTATTTATTTATCATAGAATCATTTTGGTTGGAAAAGACCTTTAAGATCATCAAGGCCAAATGTTAACCTAACACTGCCAAGTCCAACCACTAAACCATGTCCCTAAACACCACGTCTACATGTTTTTTAAATACCCCCAGGGATGGTGACTCAACCACTCTCTGGGCAGCCTGTTCCAATGCTTGACAACCCTTTTGGTGAATAAATTTTTCCTAATATCCAATCTAAACCTCCCCTGATGCAATTTGAGGCCATTTCTTCTTGTCCTATCACTTGTCACTTGGGAGAAGAGCCCAACACCCACCTGGCTACAGCCTCCTTTCAGGTAGTTCTAGAGAGTGATAAGGTCCCCTCTCAGCCTCCTCTTCTCCAGGCTAAACAACCCCAGTTCCCTCAGCTGCTCCTCATAAGTGCTCTAGACCCTTCACCAGCTTTGTTGCCCTTCTTTGGACACGCTCCAGCACCTCAATGTCCTTCTTGTAGTGAGGACCCCAAAACTGAACTCGGTTCTCAAGGTGTGGTCTCACCATTCTGTATTTCCTATGCTGATTGCCACCTTTACTGTTTCACAGTCAAGCTCTTTATTTTCACTTAGAGCTCTTTCCCTTTTTTTTTTCCCTCCTACTTTGACAGCTATTTCTTTATTTGTAACCTCTCTGCTTCTTAAACTACTTACACATTACCATCTGTGTAGAGATTTGCACCTCTGTATGTTTTTTTTCATTTTGTTCCTGGTACCATTTTTATTCATTTCAGGATATTGTTTATAAACCTTCATAAATAAAAGTAACACAGAAATATAGTCTTTAAAAATGTAACACTGAAAACATAATTGATCTGGCAATTTTGCCTTATTTCTTGTTTTGAACTGCTCTTTTTCCTGAGGCCAACTTTCTCACCACACTGCCCTTTCAATTTCTGTTCATGTGATTCTGATTTTTTTGGTCAGCTGCCTTGTCTTTGTTCGCTTATGCACAGTGCACATCAGTTGAGCTGTCTGCTGTAAGCAGTATACCCTTTACCTCTGAACTGTACTTACATCCCTATTCGTACTTTGTATTTGAAATTTTAAAATATATACACATATATCTATAAACACATACACAGCTACCTTAGCTTATATGCTATGAAAAGCTGCAGATTTTTGTTACAGTAATGGTGGAAGAAATTCAAAGAATTAATTGGCCTGAAATACTCTGAGATTGTTGTAAGCACAATCCGAAAATGCACTGACTGTATTAAGCTACTGTCCATGTCCTTTCCAAAAGATAGAATGCCTACTTTGTTTATCTGATGAAAATTATTTCCAATGTTGGCTACCTTTGCAGAAAATTGTTATTCCTTGAGCATGACTGTACTTTAGTTGGGTTTTTAGATAAAAGTACGCCAATATATGTTCAGCAGTTACAGTTGAAAATAAGGTAGTTAATTTGAAATTATTTAATGGAAATCTAAATTCTGCA